ATTCCCCAGTAAAAACCCCTTTAAGCATACATGAACTTGACGCTGAAAAAAATATATTTTTGTGCGTAGATATGTGTATGTATATATATATTATATATATATATAGTTTATGTACGTACACAGAGAGAGAGAAGAGTTAAAAGAGCATGGAAAGAATCTAGAGTGTGCTAGGTTGTGTTGGCAAAAGAGTCGCCGCAAACATAGGCACACCATATGCGATCTTTTGAAGCATTTTTGTACTAATCTGACTTTACATGGTGTTGGTCACATGGCTTCTAATTTCCCCAATTAACTATTAACTACGTAACATATGCATACAAATTCAGAATCAAACTCAGATTTATATGTGTCTGTTATAATGGCACAGGTAACTTCATAATCAACTCTAGAAATTAGAATTAGAACAATTCACTTACCAATTACATCAAAATTTAAAGAACTTAACCGTTGGTGTATTTGTAATGATGATGCATCATCCTAATTATATATAGAATTTCATAAAAGATAGATTTATTCCAAATACAGTCTAAATCAATTATTTAAATCTATATCTACCATTAAAAGATCTGGAGCCAGAATCTACAAAGAAAAACATTTAACTTGCAGAACAAACAGAAAAGATCAGAAAACTTAGGCTTCAACTAAAATTCTACACCTACATCTTATAGATCTATCTCCAATGTGACTGTTCAGTAAATTACCACCCCAACTACATCGCGCTGTCAAGCACCTACTTTAAAAAGAAAATAGAGAACCAAGATGTCGAAATACTAACAAGTATTTCTTTCAAGTACCTATACAATAAAAATGCATATGTTTTTCGAAACAAAAATAAGCAAGTTAATATCCGGAATCCATTATTTTCCGATTTAATCCCATATATCCTTTTCCGTTTTATTCAACAAACACAAGCAACTAAAATCAAGGGCTCCACAGTAATATGCAGAGGGCAGAAAAGATAGTTACCGAGGCAGGAGGGGAGAATAGGATACCGACTGTTCTGTTTATTGTTGTTGAACAAACAAAATTGAACAAGATGCATTCAGCTCATTCTTCAGTCACTATCTCACTAAGAAACTGTGAGGTCAGTGAATAAATGACTACTCGTGTGTAATAATATGTACAACCCAAATGCCTAATTTAAGTATGGTCAAGGCTATTCACAATCCCATGACCACAATTACCCTCGGAGTTCCATCATATGAAGATTCCCCCCATTTTATTGGACTGCACGCTACACCAAAACAAGAATTCTCATGTCCTAATAACTGGACCCCTGTACAGCCCTCTTCTTATCACAAAATTATCAGGAGGTTGAAACTCTTCCAACCAAGTAACTTCAGAGACCATCACATCATTCACTTCCACATCACCTAAAGTTTTTATGCAATCAGTATCAAAATAGTCAGAATAAAGGATAAGAGTCTAATGATTAATAACTCTCACAAAATAAATTTCATTACCAGGAAGATCCCTTCTTGGAGACCTTCGAAAGTAGGTGCAATGTCGTCCATGCTCCGATGAATAAGGTGGGGACAAAATGTCAAAAATAGCACAGGGAGTCAGAGCTCTGAAACAATGAATGTTACCACCACTTGTGGGATAAAGGACAGTAGCTGCACATGGAGCTGTCATCTCAGAATCCCTAACCAGCTTTGCAGGTCTCGCTACAAATCAGCATGGACAAATGATCAAGATCAACTACGACAGGAAGTATAAATGTCCATTAACTGGTACTTTCCAGAGAAAATAGCTTAAAGAATACACGAGCAAGAGAGAAAATACCAGACAGTTCTGTTTGGTTCATTTTCCATTCAATTCCTAACTATTTCTGGTTATAATCTTCAAATTACCCTCGAATTGAATGAGAAATAAACTAAATAGACAGACATGTTTTTCAATGGAATACCCAACTAGTTGATTCATGAGAGAAAGATCATCATCGTAAGCTTTAGCCATTTAGTACCCTATCATCTTGGCATATGGATTAGTTATTCAACATAAATCAAAGAGCAGCAAAGTCAGACGAGAAAATCCAAAAGTTGAGGACAGGAAAGAAGGAATAGGCGAGAATAGGTGCAGGCAGCCTCTTAGAGATCACTTGCATAATTTAAAATCTTTTGTCCTGAGTGACAAATTGGGTCTAAATTGTGTTACGTCGTTAAATAAGTCGGCTCCATACCATATTCAAATTCTACTAGTTTAATTCAGAATAAGAGATCCTTAGCTTAATCTTAAAAATAGTATGAGCCATGTCATTAAAGGACTTCTCTCCATAATTTGAAGTCTGGATCAAGTAGTGTCAAAAAAACTGTCCCCTCTTAATTTCATTAACACTGAGAGGAAGTCAAACAAATGATTAGGTTTTTCATTATTCAGTTCTAATCTACTTCATACATTCACACACATGCACAGGCTTCTAATTCTTCAATTCTAACATTTTTCATTTGTACTAATCATTAGTGTCCATCTACGCCACATCCAGAGCAGCTGCTTCAGCAAACTTCTTACCTTCAATCTTTTTCTCTTATCATGTCTTAGTTTTAGCAGCAAACCACAGTCTCAAATGTTATCCACAAAGTCATAAATGCATACCAAATATATGACAACTCCAAGGGGACAACAAACAACAGTTATCTGTGCCATCAGACAAACAGGTAAATCCAGCTCAAGAAAAACTTGGTCAAGTCAGGAAACCGTTAACAGGATAAATAAACAGATGCAATGCAGATTTTAGATAGGTGTATTCCTAAAATTAACAATATAACTTGACAATGTCTTCAGCTTGAGCAACAAAGGCTGAATTTTTTCAAGAGAGATAATACTCACTATTCTAAAATAGAATAACCAAACAAACCAGGACTGAAAACAGAAGACTCAGAAGAATTTCTACGTCAAGAAAAGGTTGTATTTTTGTTAATGCTTTGATCTCATTTAGTGTTCCCAGCAGCAGTGCTATCTCTGGAGTCTTGGAGCAATCACGATAACTCAACCATCAAATGCAACATACATGCCTATTAGAAAATAGTGTTAAACCTAACCAAAATTAAAAGTTGACCACGTAAT